TGCAGTTAACAGGACCGGCTTATTATTCATGTGAGACAAAGTGAGAGGATGGGAGCCCTTCGCCTCTCTTTTGCTCTGTTCTTCCTCTCATTCTCTCCCGCTCAAGCCCAATGGTGGAGTTTCATCTGGGCAAAACCTAAAACCACCACAATCTCTATGACTTCTCCCATTCCTTCCTACATCACTTCTCCATCCATCACCTCCCTGGGTTCTTCTGACACCCCAGGGATAACAGAATGGATGTTAAAGGAGGACGGGGTGACAGAGAAAGCCCCGGAGATAAGCACTCTGACAGAGAGGTCTGTACTGCCCCCCACACCCACCCCTGGAGTGGAAATCTTTGGTCAAAGCACTGCAGTACCTGGGACTTTACCTCCAAAGGAGAATGCAGGTGCTGGCAGCAAAGCTAGGGCCCAATGCAAACCCCTGAAACACTGGAAAAGTGGTGAGTTTCACTGATGAGTTTAAGAGTGCAATAGTTTATTTTCCCAAGAGTTCCCATTGGCAGATTTCTAGCTAAGAGTGGCTTCATATTTGGTATTAGAACTGTCAACTTTTATGTAAGGTGACGTATGCCTTTGAGTCACCAGCAATTTAGTTAATGTCTGATTTAAACAATAAGAATACATAGTTCAATAAAAAGTGGTCAGGAAAAAAAAATGTGTGTTGGAGAAATGTCTTGTTCAACGGCTACCAGGTTGAACAGTTACTGGATTAGACCTTTCTGCCCATTCAAAGTGAATGGGCAGAAGCGTTGAAGCTTCAACGCACGCCACCGTGTGGACGGTCCTGATGTGCTTGGCATTAAAACTGTTGGAATCTTTCAAATCTAGAGAAAGAGTGGGGCAGGGAGCTTTTGTCTGTGCCACATCAGGGTCAAGGAGGGTTTAAAAGGTTATACATGGAAACGCTAGGGGGTTTGTTAATATTGGCTTTATAAGTCTCCTCAAGGTGATCAAGCGTCCATGGCGGCCAACGTGATGAGGATTAGGTTCTTGAGGAGGGAGTTAGAGTTGAAAAATGTGACGCAAAATGAAGGAGAGATCAGATGACTGGCAAAGTGTTTGATTTGGTGACTGAAGAATTGTATGCAATTAACTTAATGATTGTTTGACGCCTGACTGACCACTTAACTTGTCTTTTATTAATAGTTTGCTTAAATAATTGTGCGGCTGAGTGTTTGCACATTAAAACATTTGTATAAAAATATATTTACAATACAATCTTAATTATTACAAAGTCTATTATTTTAAATCCATACCACATGATGTCATGAGAATGGGATTGGACCAATGGCTGTCATGTTCGTTACTCATTGGTATATGGGCCATTCTACCGAATTGGACCAAAGTCAGGTTGGAAATGTCTTGAAATGTTGTATGTTTTTTTCCAAAAACTTTGTCCATATATATTTTGTACCATATCTAAATTACATATGTAAAAGAACCGTACATTTTTATATCGTATTTTCAGACTGTATTGGAATGTTCTTCCTCTACCAAAAATGGTCACTACGAAACATAGTACATAAACTGTAGTAAAAAAGTATTATATTAACCTGTTAAGATTGTTTTACCTTCCCTTCTCTAAATAGTATTTTAACAAATATTTCTTGAGGGTTTTCACAATTAAATTAATAAAAGTTCATTTTTAATCAAATTTCAAAGTTCAATTTATACAATTCATAAAAATCATAATGTAAACTTTCTTTGTAAAATGCATAATACTGATCATATTGATTCCAGAGTTGATGATTGTTGAAATTGAACATACATTAAACCAATCAGTATCATATCATTTTAGTTGATAACTCAATATACTGTTTCCACTGTTTCGGTAGTGACCACAGTATATTGTTCTCAAGGTTGTTTCATATTCCCTCAACCTTATTGCTTAATCTTAACTCATAACATGCCTTATGTTGAAGTGTGAATGTTTGAAGCTACTGGCCCAGAATCAGCACTTTAGTAACAGGCTGAAATAGAGGGGAATGAGGCTAGAATTGGTGATCTGTTTGGTATTTTGAGCAAAACACTTCATAGACATGTTTTTTATATATCTGAGACCTATAATATATGCCTAACAATAGTATAATAAGAGACCTTTAAAGTAACACACTGATTTTCAAACTTTAAAACACATTTATTTCAAAATGGTGGGATTTACCTGCCATTTTGTCACTACCGAAACGATCATGTCAATTACCGGAACGTAACCATATGTTTCGGTAGTGACTGTTTCGGTAGTGACGATTCTAGCTAAAATTGAGCATAACTAAAGAATGCTAGCAAGTACATGGCTATCATACACGTTTTTGAAGAGGTTTACACACATGAAAACCTAATACTTTGCATAAAACCCCGAAAAGGTTTACTTAATTGAAGATAATAATGTGTTCGGTAGTGACAATTCTTAAGGTTACACGCCGATTTTCAGATTTTGGAACAGATTTATATCAAAAGTATGGGATATAGCTACTTGCCATTCAGCCATGAGGGACAGGGATGCAGTTTCACTGCCTAGTAAAAAATGCAGGGGTCTTGCTAAAAACCAGGCTCAGCCATTGGACTAAAACCCCTTGTGTTTCGGTAGTGACATGAAAACTGGGGACATGATTTTTTGAGTATAGTTTTTTTATTAAAAAAATGATACCCACAATAAATCTAAATATTCCAACTTCTGTTTGAATGTAATCATAAATATCTTCTAAATACACCATTCAACTAAATTAAAAAAATGTTTGGGTTAACCCTAAGTGTTATTTACAGAAATTGAAATGTAGATGTAGATGTCAGGGTTCAGCTACTTCCCAATAGAAAGTACCCTATAAATGATGTTTTTGTATATATTAAGCTTATCACTATATAATGTAATGCCTTGTGTTTAAATAGACCATAACATATTCTTAATAAATATCTATGTCTGAATACTTAATTGTTTTGTTAAATAGTTTTTCTTGTTGTGGTACCGCACTTTAATACTAATTTGGTAGAATGCCTGTGTGTGTGTGTGTGTGTGTGTGTGTGTGGTGTGTGTGTGTGTGTGTGTGTGTGTGTGTGTGTGTGTGTGTGTGTGGGTGGGTGGGTGGGTGTGTGTGTGTGTGTGTGTGTGTGTGTGTGTGTGTGTGCGTGTGTGAGAGAGAGAGAGTGAGTGTGAGTGTGAGTGTGAGTATGTATGTTTGAAACTAGTGAAAACGATCTACCTTTTTGAGGAACTTTAGCATTTCAATTGTATTCAACTTTTAACTCATTTCACAGATAAATATATATCCTACGTTTTACTTACTGCAGAAAAATATTTTTACAAAAGGTTTAACATCAGTTTTCCAATCACAAATCATTCACAAGATATTTGGTGGATCTTTATCTGTTTTGTTTGTTCATGGGCAGTGAAGGCCTAGATTTGGTTCATCAGCTGCTTAATATGTGTTTTAACATCGAAATGTTTTCATGCCAACTAAAAAAGACAATCACAACTTAATTAAGACAGCTAAATCCAGTTGTAGCTAATAACATTGGGTTAAATATAGTCGCAGCTAGCCTTGGCTAAGGCTAAACTTACTGACTTTCTGCCCCTAGCTTTTTCCTAGAATTTAATTAAATAAATGTTGATCACTGTGTTGGTCATTCAGTTTGTTACATTAGACGAGTGCAGTGGCAAACTATGGTCATGAAGAATAAAAACAGTTGGAACTTATCAAACTCGTACTGAGAAAAGGTAACTAGCTTAGCAGAGTAATAGTAGCTTAGCTGCTATATCAGCTTTGGCTTGAAGTGTAGCTACTTTAAAGTTTAAAATTGATCTAGCTACTATAAAATCTGTATTAAATGTAAGTTGTTTATTCAGTTGAGGTATAACAAGACTAGCATATTGTTCCCAAAATTTGCTGATAGAAATTCCTTTCCTTTTTTCTCACAGTCACAAATTTGGCCCTTTTTCCAAAGTGGCTGAGAACTCTTAATGGCTGCTTTCCGAGTCATGACTGGTAATCACCAACATGTTGCTGCCATCATGTCACTATCAGACCGGATTCACTAAGTTGTACATTCAAATGTGTCTCAGAGTCGGGGGATAAAAAGCTAAACTTTGCAGTCAGTGGCCTCCGGACAGCCTGCTGGTTGTATCATGAGCTCTCTCACAGCAGTCTGTTCCTCTCAGTCATTACACAGAGAACTAATGACTTCACATCCGGACTGGATGCGTGTTACCACTTTGGTGTGTGTGTGTGAGTGTTTAGTTTGCACATCTTGAGTGCCCACCTGTTGCAACATTAAGTGTTTAAATGTGCAGAGCTTTACTTGTGTGTGTGCTTCTGTGCTGCACACACATACACACACACAATCCTTAAAACCCTCTAATCAGGTGCTTTCAGTGGTTCAGGTTGATGAACTACAGACCCCAAGATGTTGGCCTTTCTGGTCTATGTGTATGCCTGTATGTTAACGTGGGTGAGGTGTGTATGTGTGCACAATGTATGCAAAATACTTTCTATATGTGTGTGTACATATTGTATGTGTGCATGACAGTGGTAGGCTATAGGTAACAGGGGTGATCTCGCCCGGAATGCTAAGGTGAGAGTTAGTCGCCACGGGAGGCATAGGCTACGGGGGAATCAAGACAATGTGAAGCCATCTCTTCACATACACACTAAATACTCTAATTACCTGCCATTTCTTTTTCGGAGGATTATGTCCATGTGAGGCAGAGCAGCGAGGCGTGGGCACTGTCTGGATCAAATCAAGTCAAATTAAAGTCATGTCAAGATGATTCGGGTAGCTCTCTTTTTTTTTGCTTGTATGAACCAGCAACACACAGGTTGCAGACAAAGAAGACCCGTTTTAATTGGGGTTCAGACACCCGCCAGAGAAGTTTATCTGCATCTAGGTCATAAGGTCCACTTATTGAAGGATGTTGAAGTGAAATTATCCCATGTAAAAAAAAACAGGATGCTACATGTTACTCCTTTGTTTCCACTTACACATTTTCTCCTTCTGTGATAGAGCGAGGCTCAGGAGGTCATCTGGACCTGACGGAGTTAATTGGCGTGCCCCTCCCTCCCTCCGTCTCCTTTACTCCTGGCCATGAGGGTTTTCCAGCCTACAACCTCGGGCCTGATGCCAACATCGGTCGGCTCACCAAGACCTTCGTGCCAGGCTCATTCTACAGAGACTTTGCCATCATTGTCACGGTAAAACTAAAGAACTGAATACTTTTCAACCTTTTCAAACCCTATGTATGCCGCATTCTGTTTTAAGGGGTCATGCAGTGATTTACACACAAATTGAACTAAGTATACTATAAGCAACTGTTTACTGTGTAAAATTGTAAATACATACATTGCATGACTTTTCTTCTGAACAATCTTCATGGTAAAGTATGGGTATGTTATGTTGCCACCTTGTGGCAGTTTGACAATAATGCAAGAGTCCTATATTTTCAGTGCTAAAAAGTTTCTATTTCCCCTGTGTACTGGAACGTCTGTCAATTTCAGTCTTGTACATTACTGTATTTATATGTTAAATGGTACGTCTATAATGTTCATAATGTGGGAAAGATGACTCTGAATCCTGCCTTGCGCTTACTCCAGGTGCGTCCAGCCTCTCAGAGAGGAGGGGTCCTCTTCGCCATCACAGATGCCCGTCAGAAGGTGGTGGAGCTGGGTTTGGCCCTCACTCCGGTGCGGGGGGGCCTCCAGAGCATCTTACTGTACTACACTGATGAGGAACAAGCTTCACACAGCCACAAAGCTGCTTCCTTTAGTGTCCCTGATATGACCGAGCAGTGGACACGATTCACGGTGAGCATCATGTGCTGTCTGTGTTAATGATAATTTATAAGATCAGGGAGACGTTTTTAGTTGCTTCAAACCTTTTATTCAAACTTTTTATGGTATACCTTCACACCAAAACAGTTAAATGTGCAATTAATGGATTTGTATTATTTTGCAATGTATTTTTGGTTGATTAAGGATTGTTTTTTTAAAATGATAACAAATTAAGGCATCACATTCATTGAATCCTTACATCCTCACCAATCCGTTTTTTACAAAATATTAGAATAACTCCCATTTTATCAACAGCAATGAACATTTCAATGACTAAACAATTGGTGTATTTGATATAATCCTCCATCAGGTGGTGGTGGAGCAAGATGAGGTGCGTCTCTACATGGACTGTGGCGAGGCAGAGAGGACGACATTCCATCGCAGACCAGAACGACTCAACTTTTCGCACAATTCAGGAGTTTTCGTAGCTAATGCAGGAGGCACGGGGCTCGACAAGTTTGTGGTAGGTTGCAAAATCCTTTAAATGTAGAAATGTCACTGAGTGAGGACAAGAATGCATAAAGGGCAAGGAGAAGGAGGAAGAATGATGCCTGCCTTTGTCAATATCAGTGTGCAGTTGTCAGTGTAGGCTTCAGATCACATTTGTTCCTGTGTTCTGGCCTCTCATTACCATATCAAAGAGCTGAAATGTCATCTGCCTACAGTCTGTGTCCTCTGAAAAATGTCCAGCATTTAAGAAAAACAGAAACAATTTATGTTTTAACTAAATGCTTGAAGAAAATACTATTTTGCTTTTACAATAAGTATCTTGTGTAAGCAACATGCAGAACAACTAAAAACCTTGTCCCTTGTAAAAAAAAAATGCTACTATTATACTGTGTCATAATACTTTATAGTATAGACTATTATGTGATTATAAATTATAAGAAATAACTTTTAGAAAAAATACATTACAAGATGGTTACAAGTCAATATAAGTGATCAGGGTTGGCTTTATGTGAAGTTGAAAAATATTTAATTTTAAATTATATTAATGTATTGTGATAATTAACCTTATCGTTATCAGAGCATTATAGATATTTGAGATATTTTTTGAGTGCTCATATCTATAATTGTACAGTGCTATTAACCAGTTATAAGGCAACAAGTGCTTACAAAACTTAGTAGCCAGTCTCTGCAAGGTATTTCTTTATAATAAGAACATTCTTACTTGAGGGATCTGTTTTATATTGTATTCTATACAACTATAACGATCAGAGAGGAAGCAAGAAGAGGAGGACAGCAAAGAGATGGTAAAGAAGGAAGGGAGGGGAGTGAGATGAGGATGGGAGGAGAGGACGGGGGAGTAAGTTGATGGCAGATGAGGAAGTCTGAGATGTCAACAAAGCTTAGTTGTGGTCAGATCAAGGGCTTTTTCTCGGGCCTTTGAGTCTGCCGCCAAGTGGGATTGTGTAGTAAGGTAATCTAAATGAAGCTCTGCTAGTCAATAATAATGTACACCTACAACAAAGTAAACTCTCTTCAAACTGACATTATTACTGGAATCACCCTTGGACCATCGTCAACTTAACGCCACTTACAAAAGATAAACCCAAGCTGCCAGTCACTTGTTGCCATGGTGAGGGGAAGGCTTTGTTCAGTGTGGCCTGACTTATTGAACGGGTTATCTGAAGCATGACGACAGAATATGTGCATGCTCAGAATTGGTAACATCCAATCGGAAATATCTGGGTCACTCTGTGTGTGTTTGTGTGTGTGTGTGTGTGTGTGTCCTTGGTTTGTTGTCATGGGCTTCAAAGTGGAGCAGTCATGGCATGGGGCCCTTTTTAATCAGCATGTGTGTGTATGTGTGAATGTTGTAAATGTAGGACTCGACATCTCTCTCCATGTTACCATATAAACTTTATAAACTAGCGCTTTTATCACCATGCTGCGAGTGTTAATGTTGTTTAGGTACATTTTTTGAAATCCGGTCTCTTAGGTGATGGCATTAACTGAAATGTACTTCATTGTGTGTGCAGTGCTCCTCTGTTCAAACTGTATAAAGACAGAAAGAGAGCACTTGTTTAGGTCACAACACTAAAATGTTCATGCAACTTCGGTGCGTTAAACATTCTTTTGCGAAAGAAGAGTGAGTATTATCGGCAACATGTACATTCTTATTCACTTTAAAGAGGCCCTATTATGTCTTTTGGGGTTTGGGTGTGTTATATAGGTTTTTGTGCATGTAATTAGTCTGCAAAGGCTAAAATCCCAAAGTTTACACAAGAAGGAGTTTATCCCAGAAACACTCCCCCATGCATGAAACGCATCGTTGGACTCCTTAGTTTATTTCCGTAACAAAGTGACATCACTATGCAAAACTTGCGCTTCTATTGGCTAGCGCTCCAACCCATTGAGCGCGATAGGCTAAGGGGCGGGACATCTCTGAACCAGGCCTCTGGTTTCAGACAGAGGGTGAAAAGAGGGGCTGCAGCACAGGCAGTATGAGAAAAATAAAGCACATTTGAATATTAAGGCATGTAAACATGTCAAAGTAGAGGCACACAATACAATTAGCCTGAAAATGAGCCTAATATGGTTCCTTTAAACGTAAAGTAGTCAATATGCAGAACATTGGCTCCTTTTTTAGCTATTGAATATTTTAATATTATGATTAAATTGCTATTATGTTGCTTTGATGTGTAAGTCGTATTTAATTGTTGCAGCTGTTGGAGGTAAAGCCAGCATTTACTGTTTAAGATATTGTTGATAGGTTTAAAAAAGTTAATCATTGAACTTTCTGCTCATTCTCATTTTCATATGTACGTGTAACGAATGACATGATTGATATTCTGAGGTAAAAGTTTTCATTTTCGCTCGTTGATTTTGGGTCCTGTTTTTTTTGTTTTACTTTTCCTCTATGTAACCTGAGTGAATATACATGTAGTATGTAGTTAAGGTGTCAAGATGACAGTTTTTGAAGGTTTTTCCTAATCCTCTCGCGCTCTGTCTCTCCCTCCAGGGATCCATTCAGCAGCTGGTGATAAAAGATGATCCTAGAGCAGCTGAGGAGCAGTGTGAAGAGGATGATCCTTATGTGAGAAATGCACACATAAACACAATATAGGTGTTTGACACACAGGAACGTACTATTCATAAGTTATAGTTTAAAATTCTGTACACAAATCACAAATGTATCAACGTTACCCCCTAGTGGTCAGAGATCTTCCCTCAACAAAGTACCTAGTTAGCTGGATTAATGATCATGAGTAAACGTTTGCTGTAATCAGACAACTATTTGGTTTCTCCTGCCCTACATAATTGCCATAGGAAGCACTTTATACATTATAAAATGTATGTAATTACATAGGTATTTTTTTTAAACGAAACACCGAATGTAAATAGATTTTAAAGAGAAGATCTTAAATAGTTTTTGTCCTTTTCTCCTTCTGTGTCTCTTTCTTTAATAAATGAATTTGTCTGTAACATTATCTTTAACTGGCAAAACGTGGGACACTGCCCAATTATTTGTTTGTCATTTACATAATTTTCTTCCCAAACTAACACACCATGTGATGTTTGATATAGGCCTCGGGATTCACCAGTGGAGATGATGCATTGGATGACAGAGAGTCAGAGGAGGAAATGATGAAGAACACACACGAGAGAAAACAAGGCACAGAGCAGGTAAGTTAGCTGGATTGGCTGCTGGATAATGAGAACCTGAAAAAAGTCTTGTTGAGTAAATATGCTGTTTTGTTTTGGAGATATCATATCTTTCGAAAGTTTTAGATCTTCATTTGACTGGAAGACATGTCCTGTAAATGAGAACAACTGTGAGAAAGAGTTCTGGTTTCTTTAGAAGCCCACACTTAAGCAGGAAGGGCTCTAAATGCAGTATTTGCTGTTTGAAAAATACGCTCATCGAGTTAGGGTGTGTGTTAGAGTCCACTCCCCCCCCCCCCTTTCTTATCATCATGACCCTAAACAGCACTCCTCCTGTGCAAGTTGATTTGTGTGTTTCTTATTTGTTCCGGGACAACCTTTCATTCCCCCTCAACCAGGAAGTCAGTCTGACCCCAAATATCCCATAATCAACATTGACTTTGAAGCTTCAAAGACAACAGTCCCTCAGAAGCTAAATAATTGTTATGTATGGTTAATGACATGGTAGAGACTTGCATAAACAACAGTGGCACCAAAAGCACAAAATGTCAAATGATTTGGTATTTCTCTCAAATGTCTCTTTTTTCTTGTATTCGAATGACCTTTTGACCTTGTCCTCTTCTTCGTCCCTCTGAGGAGGAGGACAGTGTTCCAGTCAGAGCTCCACCCACTGAGGCCCCGGAGGTGGAGCTGGAGGAGTTCTCCGGTCAGCAGACTACAACAGAGGCCACTGAAGACATGCTGCTAAAAGGTCAGAATAAAACTGAATATATATTATTATTATTTTCTGTAGGAATTGTACAGAAGCTTAAAGAAGGCAAAAGAGGAAGTTTTGCCAGGATCTTTATTGCAAGTTACTTTTTTTCATCCAATAAAAACACTGCTTGAAGTGAGAAGCATAATATAATTATGGGATTTTAGTGTGGAGCTCTCCATTATTCAGTATTATAACAACAAATACATAACATTTCACAGAGCAAAACAATTTTTCCCCCCTAATTTACAGATGTTTTTTTTTTTTATAGGCTTAGAAACATCAAAAAAGTAAAAAGAATAATTAAGATTATAATGAATAACTGAATTACTTGATTTTTTTTCATTTTCCTTTCAAGGTATTGATAGATAGAGAATTTTTTTATCCCAAATTGGGTAATTTAAAAAATGTTTTTAATTAAATTAAATGTAACAATAAACAACAGCACGTTTATTATATCTACAGTGGAAATGACATGAACCACAAATAATACTAAATATATAATGTTCTAGATAAGTTAGACAGTTCTATGAAAGACCAATATATTAACTGTAGTCTTTAAAGTTAATTGAACCTAATCTTTTTACATTGCTTTTACATTTGAACAGTTAATTGGCTGTGTCCATTACTAAAATAATAGATATTTTTGTAGGATTTTGTTCTACTGAAGACCACTATCTAATGTTTTCATTAGCTGCCTCAACAGGGGCAGCGGTGGCCCAAAGCTTAAGGAAAGCAGGCTTGCAATTCTGTCCTTACGGGACTAGCATGATAAATGTTGGTTGGGAAAATGAAAAAGTGGCCCTTATGTCAAGCTACAGTAACAGTGTTACCTTGTTAGACTCTGATTGGTCACACCTGTTGATGATGTCATATGCTGTGTACAGGGCCACACATGACACAGGAGCCAGGGGAGGCACCCAGAGATGTGAGTTGACTTTGACTTTTATATTATATTGTTCAAAAGGATGACAAATCCAAATTATTTTTGCACAGCAGTATCTTTTTTATAAAAACTTCTCTGCTCTCTACTCATGGACGTTATATTTTGTATGAATGTTTAGGGTCATGTCAGACATGGGATAAAAGGAGAGCGTGGAAGTCCTGGACCCAGAGGCCAACCTGGCCGACCTGGACACCCAGGCCCCACCCCTCTACCTGGGCCAGCTCAACCCGGGCCGAGAGGGACACAAGGACCAGCCGGAGTCCCCGGGTCCACAGGACAGCAAGGGAGAGACGGACAGGCGGTGTGTGTGCCAGCGAGATAGGGAGTGTGTGTGTGTGTGTGTGTGTGTGTGTGTGTGTGTGTGTGTGTGTGTGTGTGTGTGTGTGTGTGTGTGTGTGTGTGTGTGTGTGTGTGTGTGTGTGTGTGTGTGTGTGTGTGTGTGTGTGTGTGTGTGTGTGTGTGTGTGTGTGTGTGTGTGTGTGTGTGTGTGTGTGTGTGTGTGTGTGTGTGTGTGTGTGTGTGTGTGTGTGTGTGTGTGTGTGTGTGTGTGTGTGTGTGTGTGTGTGTGTGTGTGTGTGTGTGTGTGTGTGTGTGTGTGTGTGTGTGTGTGCCTTTTCATTAAATGTGATACTGATCCTAAATCTTGTTCTACTCTTTACAGGGACACAAGGGTGATAAAGGGGATGCAGTAAGTTGTTTATCTCTTCTGTTTAACGCATGTCATCATTGCTATGCTATATATAACTTGTGATTACTTAAATGTGTGCAGGGTCAAAGAGGAACTCAGGGATTATCAGGTTCTGACGGAGAAGCTGGATCTAAAGGAGAGAAGGTACGACAAAAGCACACAACTTGCAAATAACAACTTGCAAATAACAACTTATTGCGACTCTTAAAGGTGGGGTAGGTAATTCACTTCAGAAACACTTTTTGTTATATTCCATGGAATGCTCTTAACATCCCGATAGCAAATGAATACATTAAATGCTTTGACAATAATACATAACCAAATTTCATCTGTGGAAGCCGTGGCGCTGTAAAAAGCACGACCAGTTATAACTGGATGGCCTACCTGCCTGTCAGCCTTCCATCTCGTGCACAAACTTATTTCGTGCCCTCATTGGTCATGTGCGCGTTCGTGTGTGTTGGAGGAGGGGGCTCTATAAGGAAGTGGCAGATTCTTTTCGGCTGCGTACTTTCAAATTGTAGCGCACTCGAGCTGGTTTCTCCATTCTTACCTACCCTACCTTTAACTCAAAAATAATATAAATAAATTAAAGTAAACTAATTGAAAATCAGTTTTTTATAATTCCTTAGATATGTCAAATATAATAATTTCAATAACAAATAGATAGCAGTTGGACGAACCATCTTTTCAGGACAACCCTATTCAATGTTGAACAGTAGCAGCCATACAGCTGAAAGCACATTGTATAAAAGGTGAAAAAAGAGGTGAAAATTAAGCCAATATTCCATCTTTCAATACAACAACGTCTTAGTGTTATTACTTAATGACAAACAATTGGATGCTATGAATTAAGCGGAAAGGCTGTTGTTCAGTAAATCCAATACACATTTTACACCGCCTTGTTACTCCTCTTTATATAGACTTTGTTTTCTACCAAAAATGTTTTGAGCTGTACTTTGCAAAAACAAATATTTCAAAGTAGGGAAAATCATTGAAATAAAGCTTTCCTCATACTCTCTTGCCTAACAGGGAGACCAAGGAGTTGGTGCTCCGGGCCTCCCTGGGCCTCCTGGACCGCCCAGATCACGCAGTGTATCGGTCAGTATCATGGTCCATGGTTTTCCTCTGTCTTATTGTTGTTACACATAAAACAAACTTGAGATACTGTCTTTGGAGATAAGGGTCAAGCCTATAAGCAACCAGAGTGAAGGACAAGATGTCTGTAGCCTCATGTGTTAGACTCTGTGTGTTATCTTTAGTATGGAGCAGATGCCCTGGGTTCTGGCTTTGAAGACCTGGACAGTGACACTGAGCTCATCAGGGTAAGGCAGAAGACACACATACTGTACATATCTAATAGTGTAATTTACTGAAATGAAAACAAAATAAAACATCTCTTTCAACTAGGGTCATCCTGGTCTACCCGGGCCTCCAGGGCCCCCGGGTCCCCCTGGACCCTTACCATCATCCTCAGCTGAGGGCTTCTCTTCAGGATATGCTGGTCTACCCGGCAAAGACGGACCGCAAGGGAAACCTGGATTACCAGTAAGTCCCATGGATACAAAATATACTGCGATCTACTTTTAGCAAAATGTTGTTAAAAATAAAAGTAAGACCTCAATGCATGGGGGTTGATTTTCAAATATAATCAACCCCCACTCAAATAATGTTGAAGGGCAGGCACTGAATACTTCATCTAACATTGTAAATATGGCAATAGTCAAATTATATATTTTTTTATATTAAATATCAGTTCAGTATCACATTTACATACTGTATATTCCAATCTGTATTTGCTTACCAAAGGCATTGCATTTTGGCTAAACCCTTGTTTTTAAAAGTTAAAGTGGACCTATCATGCTATATTTGAAACATATATTGTAGGGCCATACCTATATAAAACATGTCTGTGAAGTTTTCTTTTCAAAATACCAAACAGATCATTTATTTTTATTTTTTTTATTTAGCCTTTATTTATACAGGTGTAAAATCTCATTGAGACACAAGGTCTCATTTGCAAGAGAGACCTGTCAGTGGTAACACTACCACACAAAGTTACAGACAGACAGGACACTAAACACAGAGGCAACAATAAAATACAACATCGTAAAAAAAGTAGTCATTGAAATCCATATAAAGTATTCAGATATAGCAGGTGCAAACACCCACAGATGATTTCTCCAGCTTTTTTTAAATGAGTTTAAAATCCGTGATGGGTATCAAACTGGTCAGCTTAAGTTCCTGCTGAAGTGTGTTCCAGGTCGAGGGGGCAGAGTATGATATGGCTTTTTTCCCAAGCACCGTGCGAGCTGAGGGGACGGACAGAGTGATGTAATTTTGAGATCGTAGGCTATAGCTGTACTGTTTGTGTGATATGTAAGTGGATATGTAGAGGGGCAGCAGTCCAAGCATAGCGGTATAGATGACTTTGTACCAGTGCAGTGATCTGCGCATTGATAATGATGTCCAGTTGACTAAAGAGTACAGTGTGTGAGGGGTTTACAGTTGGTTATGAACCTCAGAGCCCCATGGTTGACAGCGTCCAGCAGATGAAGGGAGTGAGCTGAGGCGTTCATGTACACAACATCCACGTAGTCCAAGAGCGGCAAAAATGTGGCAGCTACTGTACAAGCCGTTTCCTCACACTTGTGGAGAAGCAGGCCTTATTTCCAAAAAAAGAATCCCAGTTTTAATTTCAATTTCCTTAAGAGATTGTCAATATGTGGTTTGAAGCAGAGATTGTCATCTATAGTAATGCCTAAGTATCTGTAGGTGTTAACAGCTTCAATGGGGTTATGCTGTGCAGACATGATGCAGGGAAGAACAGTTGGTAACCTTTTCTTATTGGAAAACAACATGACTTTTGTCTTATCTGAATTCAACACCAACCTAAGGTGGAACAGATGTGACTGAAAAGTGTCAAAAGCAGACTGCAGACGTTCAAATGCAAGGGCAACAGTGCTAGCCCAACAGTACACAACAGTATCATCTGCATATAGATGTACAGAGGCATCAATACTTTGACCCACATCATTTATATAAATAGTAAAAAGGGTCGGTCCCAAGACCGAACCTTGAGGAACACCTCTGGGCACATTAAGAAAGCTTGAGGAGAGACCGCTGAATTTTACACATTGCTTGCGATTCGAAAGATAGTTTGCAAACCAACCAACAGCTTGGTCAGACAGGCCTATATAAGATAACTTCTGGCATAGAATGCCATGGTCCACAGTATCAAATGCCTTGGATAAGTCTATAAAAAGGGCAGCACAGTAGCTCTTTGCGTCCAAGCTTTCAACAATGTCATTCACTACTTTCAAAGCAGCCGTTACTGTACTGTGCTGCTTCCTAAAGCCTGACTGGTGAGGAGATAGAATGTTGTTCAAGCTTAAATATTCTTTGATTTGATCATTCACCAGCCTTTCAAGTACTTTAGCTAAAATAGAGAGCTTGGAAATTGGTCTGTAATTATTCATCACCATGGGATCACCACCTTTCAATAAGGGGAGAACATTTGCAGTTTTCCAAACATCTGGAATGACATTGTTTGTTATAGAAAGATTAAAAACATGACACAGTGGTTTGGCTATAATATCTGCAGCTAGCCGTAAGAAATAAGGGGGGAGATCATCCGGGCCTGCTGATTTTTTGGGGTCTAGGCCCTTTAGAGCCTTACAAACCTCCCCAACATTGAAGGGGTTGAAGGAGAAAGTGTGGCTACTGGAGGCATGACTATTGGCGATGGAGGGAGATGATTTACCAAAAGATAATGTGTCAAACAAGGAACTGGACGCAATAAAATGTTTATTAAAACAATTAAGCATCTCTGTCTTATTTGACACAGGGGTGGAGTCAACAACAATGTTTGGAGGCAGCTCTAAGGAGCGAGAGCTGGCAGAGTGGGATTTTATGGCATGCCAAAATCTCCTAGGATCGTTCAAACTGTCTGTGGTCTGGGATAAGTAAAAATCGCTTTTGGCTTTTTTAATGGAAGCAGTACAGCGATTACGCAGTTGACGAAAAAGAAGCCAGTCAGCCTCAGAGCCTGTCTTCCTCGCAGCAGCCCAAAGGAGATTCCTCTTGCGTAAGAGGGCTGCCAGGTCAGAAGTGAACCAGGGGGTATAACGGCCCTTCACCCTGAACCGGCGAAACGGAGCATGTTTATCTAAAAAATTAGTAATTAATTAAAAGATCGATAAGAGATGATTTTTCTAGACACCTGGTGTTAAGACGAGTAGGACTTTCAATTACTTGTGTAAAATTTAGAGACATACAATGAGCTTTAAAATCATCAGACACTGGTGAAAGCCAGTCCCAGTTAAAATCACCTACCAGGATGATTTCCTTAAACTGTAGTTGAGATAAAAGCTGCATTAGCGAGGATAGTGTGTCGTTTGTAGCAGAAGGGGGCCTATAGCAACCAACAACAGTTAAAAACTGACCACCAGATAAATCAATCTTTAGTGCTAAAATTTCAAACTGCTTAACAGCAGATTTGGAGAAGATGACCTGTGCAGCAAGATTATGTTTTACGTGAATCGCCATGCCACCACCTTTCCTGGGGCGGTCCGAACGATAAATATTGAAGCCGTCAATTCAGCCGTCACTTTCTTTGAAAGCCAAGTCTCAGAAACGATAATTAGATCAGCTCCAGTTGACTCTGACCAAATTCGCAACATATCCATTTTGGGAAGCAAGCTGCGAGCATTTACATGGATGATGTGTAACCCAGACAGGTTCTTAAAGTCCGTCGGGGTATTACATGCCATTAACGGACCAGGATTAGGCTGAATACCAGACAGAAGAAGAAGCAACATGGTTAAGCACTTCTGCTTAAATTTCGTTATAGTCGGGAGACTAGAAGAGTTAGAAGAAGAATACTGGCAAAGGGCATCTGTAGGGTTTCCCACGGTGAAGGCCCCAGGAAAACAACAGATCTCGCGAACCCAGGGGCAGTAAAATCATGCATTTTAGCCATGCCTCATTTCGCTCTATTTGCTCTTTTCCAGCCCTGTTTTTGCAAGGGCTGATTCTGCTTTTGTGGCAGACTACAGCGCCACTTACAGGCCTGGCATATGTACTACAGCGTCTCCAGTGCTTTCGAGCGGTCTCTCATTCCCCTGATAGGTGGAGAGTTGCTCATATAGGCGGAGCACCTCTTTTCTGACGTCAGAAAAATTCAAATAATAATCAGCTCCGTTGCAGCCCCGTTTTTAGAGATTTGGGTATGGAGGAAAAGAGAGAGGGTTGTGTTTTCTGACACTTGGTGAGTTCCCTGACACACCGGGGACACATATTCATGTATAAAAGATGTACAAAAGTGCATTTTGCATGATAGGTCCCCTTTACGGTTACACTGACTGGTTTCTAACATCTATCACTTGTCAAGTTTGACTAGACTGAATTGACCTCACTAGGTCACTCATATATTTCTTATGATTGCCAAATGAATAGCGTAATTTAAAAGTTTGAATCCATAACACATGCTGACATGCTTTGTAAGGTTGCTGTTGTTGTTGCTGTATCTCTGTCTCTATTATCAATGATTTGTATTTCTTGTTAATATGTATGTGTGTCCTGGCCAATGATGTGATGAGTGTATCTTTTATCCTCCCTCTGCCTCTGTTCCTGTCACCCCCCTGATATCACCCTCTATCTTCCTCCTATATCTCCTCACATATATTTCTTCCTCAATCTTCTTCTCCACCTTCTTCCTCCTCTTCCTCCTCTCCACCCTTGTTCCAGATGTATAAGGATTGGTTTAGTGGCTCTGGGTCTGATGCTTCAGGACTGAGCTCAGAGTTTTCCTCTGACCTCGGCTCTGGGTTCAGCTCCGGGTTCAGCTCTGAGCCCGGCTTTGCGTCCGGTTCTGGGCTTGACTTTGGGTCTGCTTGGGGTTCAGGCGAGGTATTTGTTTGCAAACGATAAAAGGCAGAACTACAGTCAAAAGCCTGAGAATTGAGGAAGGATGTATGATATGAATGTAGACTACATTAAAGGCTAAGGCAATTATGGGGCTCTTTTTCAATTGTGCCTCTCAAGAACAATAGGCGCTTTCACACCAAGTACTTTGCCGTACTTAGTTCATCAGAACTTAGTTCATCAGAACTCTTTAGTTCCGATGAACTAAAGAGCAGATTGCGTTCACACCGGAATAAGTCCCTGAGGGAGGATTAGTCAAATGAAGCCGCTGACGTCACTTCTTCTTCTGCTTTGGGATTACTGGCAGGCCGCAAACAACTTCACGGCGTATACTGCCACCCAAAGTCCCCGGCCGGAAGTCCCCGGAGTTGGGGACTGGCGTAAATCGCCAGAACGCCGACACCTCCTCATCTCCACCGCTCCCATGTTTTCTTTTGTGTTGCCATAAATTAGTCTCTCTGCGTTTGTGCGCTGGGCTAATGCTAATGCTAATAATGCTAATGCGAGGATAATAAAATGGCGGCTTCACAAAACCTTTTGGGAGTTTTACGGGGCGTGGTTTGCAATCCGCCCAGCCAATCAGAAATGGGAACCTTCTTCTCCCATGAAAGTACCTGCTCTCTAGCAGGGACTGAAAAGGGGGTGAAAAGGTTCTCATGAACTAAGTTCTAGTTCCTGATTTTTTTGGTGTGAACGCACATTTTCGGAACTATACTGACAAAAGTACTCCGGTGTGAAAGCGCCTAATGACGCCATGTTTAATGACAACTTTAGCTCACTGCCTCAATGCTCAGGCTAATGATTGTGCAATATCTCCAACCATGTTGTCTTTATTGCTTTCTGGCAGCTGGCTAAATGGATTTTGTTTTCACCTGGCTGAGGTAATCTGTGTGTGTTTATGTGAATTTGGTGTGTGTGTGTGCGTGTGTGTGTACATGTGCGTGTGCGTGTGTGTGCATGTGTGTGTGCATGTGTGCGTGTGTTTGGATATCACTGCTTCCTTTGCCCCTTGAAATTCCCACTGGCAGCCACTGCTGAAAAACCTGTGTGACCTGCTTTGGAAATTGGTCAATTACCTCCTATTCATTTCCTTTCAGTTCAAATGTTGTCATTATCACATGGAACGTTTCGGTGTTATATAATTCTGAACTGAAAGGAACTGATCTCAAATGTGCTGTATAACCTGAGCTTGAGCTGCCATTTTTTTCTGACAACATGGTTTTGGAGCAAATCTGCCTTTTCACTGCTCTGTGTTATTTCCCCTTTTTGTATATTGCTGTACGTATATTGGCTATTCTCATTCAAGTACCAAGGTACAATGATGTGCTCAGATTTTGCAAAAATATCTAAAATTAGTTTAGTTTAGTTATCAGTTGGTAAAATTAACTAATAACCTAATTGTATATGGCTCAAATTGTGTGCCCCACTGTATGCACGTTTTTGATGAGCAAAACATTGCTGTACTTTGGTCTGATGCTGCTTACTTAAAGGAATACATTGCATTTTTATCAATATCAACTTTCCTTAAGTGATGAGAAATACAGACATCATCCTTGCCTCTAAAGTTGCTGACTCCACTGATTAATACCTTCTCTATTATCTTTAATATGGTAAGAAAAATGTGATAAATAATACAGTTGGTCTAACTTGACTGTGACTCGAGTAAGTCAACAATTTCCTAATACTCTCTATACTAAAGTGTGAACGAGGTATATTGAAGTCAACAATGTCTCCTGAAACGATTTTCTCAATAATTAAAATGTAAACAATGTCATAACATATTTTCTCACAGACTACAGTAGCAGTTTTAAATGTGATTAAAGTTGTAAATCAAAACGAAACCTTAAAAAATCCCAATAAAGTTATTGGTTGGGTCTAGGCAAAGATCATGGTATGGGTTAAAATAAGTATGTTTGTTACATTTAACTCACGGACATACATTTTAATAATTTAACTTGACTATTGGTTTAACACAGGACTCATAAGCGGAATTTTGTCAAATGTGTTTCACCCATCCTTCCACCAAAGCCTCCTCTCAAAAGACTTAAAACTGTATTTGTTATCCATAAAAACAAATGTTATCCAGAACTAAATTAGTTCCCATCAAATTAAAATTACAGTTCTCTGTACGAGAAACACAGTTTAAGGAAACAAGGCTGATATTAACAATCTTGAGCTGATTCAGCTGAGTCAGACAGATGTTGGCATGGATGATCTCATCACTAAAGGAAAGTTACCCAGTACTCCTTTACAGTGACAGGCTGTATTCTTTGGATTTGGCGTTGGTCCCTGTTGGAATGGCTAAAGGGTCAACAATCAGCTTGGCATCATATCACTCTTTCATATACTGCCATACTTTCTCTGACTCATCACTGCTTTTTACCTCTTCTCGTGTCTGTCTGTATTCCTATGTCCAGGGTCTAGCAGGAACAAATGGCAGTCCAGGCCTATCAGGAGCTTTGGGAGAGAAGGTATGTTTTATAGGAGCTCAGTGCGCCGTATCATATCAAAATCAGAAACTATTTTTACCAAATTAAGGCACTGCTGGACCAAAATCACCATGACTTTGAGATGATATAATTAGGTGGATAGTCAGATATTTGGAAGATGTACAATTCTGATTACAAGCATTTTTCTTATAATGTACTATACTGTACACACACGCTAAAAGGCAGAACTACAGTCAAAAGCCTGAGAATTGATGAAGGATATACGAAATGAATGTAAACTACAATAAAGGCCAAGGGAATTGTGAGGCTCTTTTTCAATTGTGCCTCTCAAAAACAATGATGCCATGTTTAACGGCAACTTTAGCTCACTGCCTCAATGCTCAGGCTAATGATTGTACATGATCTCCAACCATGTTGTCTTTATTGCTTCAGAAACTATTTTACCAAATTAAGGCACTGCTGACCACGATTTTGAGATTGTTTTTATTAGGTGGATAGTCCGATTGTTTTTATTAGGTGGATAGTCCGATATTTGACATACAATTCTGAATACAAGAATTGTTCTTATAATATACTGTACACACACCTAATAGTTTTGTTTACGTCTATATTGTATGATAAATGGACAGCCTCTACTAATGATGCTATGATATCAGAATAAGTTATACTTTATTCATTTATTTTGCACTTCCTCAGGGTGAACAAGGGTTAGCTGGTCAACCTGGACCAAAGGTAATACACGACTATACACAGAGTACATAGAGACAAAATAAATCGTTTGCTGGTGTTGTTTCTATTTTATTTTATTCACAACATATCTCTTTCTCTCTGCAGGGTGAATGCGGGTCTCTGGGGACAAATGGATCCTCAGGGGCTCCAGGGCCTAGTGGACCACCGGGGAAGAGGGGCCCATCAGGTCCCCCAGGACCCCCTGGCCCTCCCTGGCCAACCAAATTCTTTGTAGAGGTGACCCTATTTCAAATCAAAGATCTAAGCATACAATTCATAGATCGACTTTGTCGTGAACTGAGGCACAGGACACAGGACACAAATGCAGGACTCGGAGACAGTTGTCCAAAAACAGAAAGTAGTTTAACGGATATTAAGTCTCACTACACGTGGACATTTTTTTATTTTCTACAAAATCAAAATCACACATCCAGTGGGAAAAAGGTTTTCCAAAAATCAAAACTCACTTGACAAAAGGTATTTTCTAAATATAAAGTTCAGGAGTCAAAGGGCCCAGGTTCTCACAGCATGGAACATAACGAACTGACAAGGGACAAGAAACACAAGGGCTATTTATAGGTGAGGGGGATGGGCACAGGTGAAAACTATCAGGGCAAGGCCAAGCAATCTCAAGGGCGGGAAACACACAAAGGCAGGAAGTGTGGGATCTGGAATGAGAGGGAAGGATTACTTTCAAAATAAAAACAGGAAGTGACAAGATCAAAAACACAAGACTAGACTAGAAAACATAACTTAACATAACATAACTGTCGAGCCACAACAGACTTTAACTAATAAGCCAATGAAGAGACAACGCCTCATGTAGGTCAGAGAGAGCCACATGGATCGATAAAGATTTCAGTTAAATCGATGTTTAACATCAGACTTCTGTTTCAGGATATGGAAGGATCTGGGAAGAGTGACATGCTCATTGGAACCGGAGTCAGAGGCACACAGGTAAGAGATTCCTTACAGATGCTTAAAAAGTCCTAAAATAAATTAAATTAATTATTGTAAAAAAGGCATTGTTCGGTATTAAAATGTCTTGATTCAATCTGTATGAATATTGTTTATTTTTTTGCATTAGTCATTTTCTTTTTTTCTTTTTTCAGGGTCCACCTGGTATACATGGTCCAACAGGACCTAAGGTAATATATTCCTTAAAATTGATTGTCTGCTCGCTTTATGCATGCTAAGCGAATTTTGATTTTGAACAGCCAATAATATTTAACGCCTGATTCCTCTGAGTAGTTTTGCCCTTGCGTACACTCTGCAATGTTTTCTCTTGCGCTGGAGTTGAACAGTACCTCTTGTTTTTCCTGTAGGGTGAGGATGGAGCCACAGGAGCACCAGGGCTCTCCGTCAAGGTAATTTGATTCTGAAATGGCACTGCTGCAGAAATATTTACCTTTATTCTTAGTCTTTTATTGTTTGAGTATGATGATACAGTGAGAAATGCCATTGGAAGGCATTTGATCTATTCTATGAGAGAAACAAGTATAGTATCTAGTTGTAAACGTCACTAAGAAGAAGTGTTGCCTTGCTGTGATTTCAGGGTGAACTCGGGGACAAAGGACCAGAGGGCCGCCAGGGTCCTGCTGGACTACCAGGAGCCAGAGTAAGTAGCGGATGTTTTTACAAATGTGTTTTTTAAAGTTACAATAAGACATAATCATTACAAATCCAAATACTGTTTTGCTTTTCTGAACTTTTGTAATTTTGTGTGTTTTGGACTTCTAGTCATCAGTTAATTTTCTGAAGCCTAATTCGACAATAACAATATCTTGTTCATCCTAATACTGTCAGTCCTATATTTCATCCATATTCATTGTAAATATTGCTATATTGTAATGTTATTATAGTTTTCTTTAAATCGTTTTTTATCACTGTTTTATTTTTATGTATGCACCAAAAACTCCAAGACAAATTCCTCGTCTGTGTTAACCCACTTGGCAATACAACTGTTTCTGATTCTGATTCATAAAAGATGTCCAGGCCGTGTTTAGCGTTAGCTTAGCATACAAACGCAAAGTAAAGGTAAACAGCTAGCCTCCACCATTCAAGGACTGAAGAGTCAAAATGATTTAAATACATTTAAACTATCACCCTTAAGCATGATGCACTGCAGTTTGTTGATAACCCATTTATACATTTGTTTTCTTTATTTATCTTTATTCTACAAACAGGGGGCTAAAGGAGAAAAAGGAAATCTAGGATCCAAGGTAGAGTTGCTGAAAAAACTAAATGTCAAACTGGTCTAGTTTTATTTCACAATTACATTTCAATAACAGACTGATAACCGTCTGTTTTGTCTTATGAAGGGTGATCGAGGCGTTGATGGACTCAGTATCCCAGGAGCCCCTGGGCCTCCTGGACCTCCTGGACCAACCCTTAATCTGCCGGATGTACGCACATACACACACACACAAACACACAAACACACACAAAGACACACAAAAGGCCCGTTCACACCGCAGTACTTTTTCCACTTTAGTTCCGCGATAGTTCCGAAATGTCGCGTTCACACCAAAAGAATCCGGAACTAAAAGTTCATGAGAACCTTTTTACCCCCTTTTGCTGCTAGAGAGCAGGTACTTTCGTGGGAGAAAAAGGTTCCTATGTCTGATTGGCTGGGCGGATTGCAAACTACGCCCCGTAAAACTCTGAAAAGTTTTGTGAAGCCGCCATTTTATTAGCATTATTAGCATTAGCATTAGCCCAGCGCACCAACGGAGAGAGACTAACTTATGGCAACACAAAAAAAAACATAGGAGCGGTGGAGATGAGGAGGTGTCGGCGTTCTGGTGATTTACTCGGAAGGCTTCAGTAGAAGCTGCTGGGAGTCCCAGCAGCTTCTACTGAAGCCAGTCCCCAATTCCGGGGACTTCCGGCCGGGGACTTCGGGTGGCAGTATACGCCATGAAGTTGTTTGCGGCCTGCCAGTAAACCCAAAGCAGAAGAAGACGAAGTGACGTCAGCGGCTTCATTTGCCTAATCCTAAAGGATTTATTCCAGTGTGAACGCGATCTGTACTAAGTTCATGAGAACTAAAGAGTTCTCATGAACTAAGTTCTGATGAACCTTTGTGGGAAAAGTACTGCGGTGTGAAAGCGCCTAAAGACACACTGTACTGAAAGTACCAAAAGTAGATTTTGCCATACCATTTCTGAATAATTTATATTTTATCATTGGATTAAGATGATAAAGGTTGAGCTAATTATAACTTTTGCTTGCGATTTGAATCTAAAATTAAGTAACAAAATGTATTAATTTAATTATATTTTGTATGTATAATATAGAGCTGTCAGATACATATATTGGAGTAAAAAGTACAATATTTATTTTGAGCAAAATAAAAGTGTAAAGTAGCATAAAATGAAGAAATAAAATCAACTACCTCGAAATTGTATTTAAGTACAGTCTTTTTAGGAGTAAATATAATTTCTGCCACTGTATAGTTATATGTACTATGTAGTGTCATCATCTTTATTTTCTATCTGCAGGGTGTTTTTCTAAACTGTTTATTGTTAACTTAATGCTATTGAACAAAACGTTTATTGTACCCTAACCCACTTGACCCTTCGGCTCCATAGTTTTGAAACTATACTGGTGTAAAGTTGTTGGTGTGGTCCTTCATAAAGAACCTACTTTTACAAATCTCTAAATGTTTTCAACATGCCCACTTTTACTTAATATGTATGTTCTGTCTACAGCTGCTGCTCAACATGACAGAGGGGATCTTCAACTTCACAGATATCAGAGGACCACCAGGGCCCGTGGTGCGTAGAACTGAGCTATTTCTATCTTTAAGATGTTACCTTCTGCACAAATGTTTAAATGCTAACAGAAAACAGCTGATACATTAATAGATAACAAACACACATTTGCAACATGAACAAACTACATTATTAAAGACAAGGAGATATAACTTAACCGTAACATCATTGATGCACTCTGAAGTGCTTAGGCTGCTTTTCTGTTTGATGATGCTCTGTACTGACTGAGCATGTTGTTAACCCAGCCTTACTGCTTTTGCTTGGCTCTGTGTTAATGTTTGTGCATGTTGCTTGTTTGTTTGTTTGTGTTTTGTCTGCGTGTTGCAGGGCCCTGAAGGCTTGCCTGGCAGAGCAGGATTTCCTGTAAGACCATTTTGCAACTGACTTCTGAATGTCTAAAATGAGTGTCTTCATGGGTATTTTGCAATTCACAAACAAAGATGTTAAAATGATATGATAGTAGTGTAACATTTTTTTTTTTTTTGCTGTCTTTGGGCTAAACAGGGTATGTACCCAAAGTGTTGCAAATGTTATTGTCTCAGAGGGTGGGTTTTCCTTTGAGGACACAAAGACACATCATTTAGAATACATATCAGAAGGTTTTAGCCCTTCGGTAATCAAAGAAATCATGACACTTATTTTAACAACTGTACAATTCATAAAGCTTCACACCAAGGACCTTACTTTAAAACGCTATCATCATCACTCAACCTCCTAACTCACTCACCACTCTTTCTTCCCTCTCCAGGGCCCCAGGGGACCAAAGGGAGACGTAGGCCCTGCAGGTGTCCAGGGGCCATTAGGGCTCAAGGTGAGAACTATACAGAATGTGGATTAAAATATATGAGTAAATAACTCAAAATGTCGAAAAGGTGTGAACATTTTATGCAGAAACATAATGGACTGGAAAACATTTTGTGTTTGTTTCTTTGCTCTAACAGGGGGAGAAAGGGGAGCCAGGGGTGACCATTGCTGCTGATGGATCCCTCATATCAGCACCAAGAGGTCCCCAGGGGCCGAAAGGCCTCAAGGTACCATACAGGAGACCCCTGACCCCTATCTGTTAAAACCATACCTTACTCAGTAACTAACAGTGGTCAAAGACATAGGATGATGAAGTTGTTTTTATGCTGTAGTTGCTCATGCTAGCCCTACACGCTTATCCCTACAATACATATATTTGGTCGAAGTCTAACTAAACAGCACTATATCAACAGCAGTCCGTCAGCCAGTCAACACACACATTGAAAGAGGCACACTGGTGATTTGATGGCAATTCTCTACTGATTGATGCATCAGCAGCACAGTCAATTAACAAGACATGGTAGCGTTTGTGTGGTTGTCGTAAGTCCTTAAACTTCAGAGGCCATCAAAAATGTTCAGTTTGATTTGACCAGAGGCCTGTACTACGAAGCCGGATTTTCCTAACCTGGATATGTTTGAGTTAGACGGTTGGCCCAATCCAAAACATACGCACTCTCGCTAAACTGTACTACGATGCTGGATATCAAGTGGATCGCTCAAGCCAGCCGTGTCCTATCTAGTTAGGTGCGCGTTCACATGAAAGGGGTGGTATTTGGAGCATTCGACCAATCTCAAACACGGACAAGCGTACTGACAGCGCAGCGTCATACTTCCTGAATGAAAAGTGAACTTTAATATTAGTAAAATATGAAGAAGTTAAACTTTAAACATCCATGACTTAAACACTTTATCCAGGATAAAAGCCACATAGCTGCACCTGCAAGGTGAATACAGCTGGTAAAAGAAAAAGCGTTTGAATGCGTACATTAACAGGTTTATGAAATCACTGCCCCGTCCAAGACACGAGTGGATCTGACTTTAATTACATTTGACTCGAGTGTTTCGTCAACTTAATGTGTTGCTTAAAATAATACTTCTGCATACAGTATGTGACACTGTGAGTGTTGCACGGCCAGATACGGCTCAAGAAGCTGACTCAGATAAGGAAATATATGATACATTATGATGTGATATGATATGAATGATAATGGGACACATCGACGTCTGCACTCACAGTGCCGCGGACTGTACTTAATGTTACTTTGATCCTGTTACTTATGTTGTGGCAGATATTTAAGTAAGTTTTCTTAACGCTAATGTTATAATAGTCAGATTGCTCTGAAGATGGGAGGGGATATTCTATTAATTTTCACGTTCACACAGTCAGTTGATTTTGGCCGGCCGTCTTTCCTGCAACGGCAGTTTTTCTGTATTTCCTCTATCCTGTAATATGAATTGATCGCTTTAAACTCCGCACACGGAGCTCTGATTGGTCAGCAGGCGGTGCTTTCACTGAGTTAATCTCTTAGCCTGCAACCTAACCTCCTCCCGAGGAGGTTAGCCGCTCAGCATAAGTTACCATGGAGATCTAGCCCGCTAAAAAGAGAACCAGCGTCGTAGGACCGGAAAGCCCGAGTTTTCCCTGAAGTCAGCCGGCTAAGCGAAAATCCGGCTTCGTAGTACAGGCCTCTGGTAATCCACACCGATTGCCTCCAATTGTCTTGTTTTTTAAAGACACTGCAACTTAACTCCTTTTAGATCTTAAGACCAAATAACTACAATGCATCTCTGCTTTTTTAGGGACCTTATGGGGGTTTGGGTTGATGGGAGTAATCCTTTCACTTATTCTAGAGACCTACAGTCAGCGAAACCAGTTTTCTTGGAAAATGTGTTTTTTTTTTTTACTGTCAATGATGTAAACACAATGCCAATTCCTCATTTCACATTTTGCTGTTCTGCTTTGTGAATTCATAGGGTGACCGTGGTTTCTCTGGACCTGCTGGACTAATGGTGAGTTGACAATTTATCAGGTGACACATTTTAATTAAGGACAAGCTACAGTATACACACGTCCATGTATTTCTGTTGTTATAAACTTCTGTGCTTAGTGATATATTTAATTTTTGTTTACATCACTTTGTCTGTTTGTTTCAGGGCCCGATAGGACCAAATGGACAAAAAGGAGAATATGGCTTTCCTGGTCGCCCAGTAAGTACCTTTTAATGCTTGAATAAAGGAAAAAGACCATCCAACCAGAAGAGTGATGTTCCCATAGTCTTCTATACATATATAGTCCGTAAAGAGTTCTTACCTGGAGGATGTCATCAAATCATGCTTTGCAGCTCACACTGTGTACAATCTTTTTTGTGTGTGTGTGTTTCATAAATACTGACAAGTTGTATTTTCTGTTCACGTAGGGACGATCTGGTATGCCTGGGAGGAAAGGTGACAAAGGAGATGCTGTGGGTCTATCGGTAAGAGGAAAGGATAGAAAATATCTGATTCTTCTTGTTGTTGAATCCATTTTATACACAGATACCTAATGTATTACTGAGATGGGTCAGTATCACAAATGTGATAATATTCTCTCTCTCTCTCTCAGGGACCTCCGGGTCCTCCGGGCCCGCCTGGACTTCCAGGAAGAGTAGTTGGGCTGAAAGGAGTAAGTTTCCAATTTGGGCTTTTTATTTCTCTAATTTGCCATTTTGAGTTGGTTGATTGGGACAATAAAGATGCACAGTCAACAATAGACATTGCAATTTGTTTTTAAAAGGCTTGTTTCACAGATACATGTTAGGCATATTCCAAATAACCTGTGTGTAGGATATATGGGGAACAAATATTTATACTTTGGGTCAGTAATTATATTGTTACAATTGTTATAAAGGTTTGCATGTTGCACATTGAAGACCATTAACAGTAATCACAGCAATCAAATTCATTCATCACACGCAAAGAAGCAGAAGTGAACTCACAAAACACCACTAAGACGTGCTATGGCAACACTTGCTATGCAGCCCCGCAATGGCTTCACATTCAAGCCTTTACTATGTTTACATTAGTGATTACCTTTAGCATTTCTGCGTTACATGGAAATACACTGTAAATTCTATAACACGTTAAGGGAGGGGGGAGCAGAGGATTCTTTTGTAGGTTACAATCTGCAACCTGACCACTAGATGCAACTAAATCCTTCCCACTGGTCCTTAAAAACAAGTGCAAAAAATGTGTTAGATTGGTAGAAATCCACCACACTTTTTGTTATTGATGCTTTCATGAAAACACCAGGTTTGGCTTCCAAAGAGCATCACCGTACCGTGAATGTGTACTAGAATTAAAGAAATTAGGACCTTGGTTCACTGGAATTTCTCTAAAAGCAATGGGTATCATTTGAGTGTTTGTGTATGTGTTTATTTCTTTGTAATCCTTTCTTTAAAGCTAATCTTTAGCACAGTATTGGACCTGACTCATTTAGTCTGTTGACGATGCTCTTCTTTGAATTTTAAAGACAGTGTTTCCGGTGCGCCCCAGACCGCACTGCAAAATGGGACGAGTAAGTCTGAATCGGACCATCTGATTGGTCTGTTTCATTTCAAAATGAGGTGGTTCTGTTGTTGTGTGGGTGTCGCAGCATGGCAGCTCTCTGGTCTGGGCTACAAACAGCACCCCATTCCTCCCCCCTTACTTTACCTCCCTTCATGTGCTCCTCTCCTTTCTCTGTCCTAATGGTCCTGAAAAGGGATAAATGTCTGTGGTTCTGGCCTCATTTCATCAGGCGTTAACATTCCTCTCATAAGAAGTTTGACATGTATTTCACTGTCTTACCTACAGTACACGCATTTGTTGCTAATATTGGATGTTACATGCAACAAATGTTAGAGTAAAGTCCACAATCTTTGGTGCATCTTGGGTTCATTAAGATTTTTGGTGAAATCCAAAATGAAAAATGTTAATGCCGGGTTTCAAAGTGGGTCTGACACTAAATCCTTCTTGCCTTGTCTGTTCTTTCCGGAGAGGCAAACAAAGAGGGAACTTGGTGAATGGCGTCCTTTTTGAGGTTTTTGGTGTGGTGACGGTTTCCTTCATAACTGTATGAACATTCATTTCAAAATGTTGACCTGACTGATGAGTTTATGTCGTAACAGAATCATGCTGCTAAAAATATTAAATGTATTCTAGGTCTAGATACATTTAGAATCTCAATAACATTTTATTGACTGATTGTTTGAATTTAAAAAAGCAACAGTCATGAAGAAATAAAATCTCTCACTTCCTATCATTGTCACTCTTCCTATCAAAACAGAGAGAGTTACAAATTATCTGTAAATTAATTTTGATTAACCTACTGTTAAAAACAGTCACCATTTATAAATGTAGAACTTTGTCATAAATAAACCTGATTTAACCCTGTTCCCTAACTTTGTTGTCTCTTAACTGCCACTGCAGAGGGTTGTTTGTGCTGCTGTCTCAAGCATGCATCCCCTGATCCCTTGTGTTGTTGCCGTATTGACATCAGTGTTTTGTCTTTTTTTGCTTTGATTAAGGCCTATATTTTACCTCCCTAAACATTCTTTACAGATGTTAAAAAAAGTTCAAATGTCGTCACTGGTATCCTTGTTATGTTAAGGGTGTATGTTTGTGTGTGTAGCAGTCAGGTACAGCGAGAGACTCAGTCGGAACTAAAGGAAACAAAGGAGATATAGGAATACCTGGAGAGCCAGGGACACCTGGTAAGACCTTCGCAACAGAAATCTCATTTAAAAAATATATTTTAATGGTAAATGACTACCTGAATGTGCATCACTTATGTTTCATAATTTCTCTTCTCAGCACCCGAGTTTCCAGATGGAGTTGTGGTGAGTGCTGATTCATCATACAATCTGGAGCTAAATTATCATGTCATGTCATGAATATTTTATATTAACAATGAATCTAATAAATGGGAATTGGAATCCTAGCAGTGCCAAACCACAGATAACCTGACTCTACAATAATTCTCAGCATTTCTGACTATTTGAGCTTGTATTTTTATGTATGGCCATCCTCATAACTAATTTAATACACTAAAAGGTGTTTTCTTATAGATTTCTATCCAACAGATATACAGGCTATTAGAACTAATGTAGGTTAAAGGAACTGGCTTTTTATATCTTGCTAACCTGGGTGAACCCTGGATTTTGATGTAATGTACGTTTGTCTCTCAGGGTGCTAGAGGTGATAAGGGATACCAAGGTCAGAAGGGAGACAAGGCTGATGGCGGTCTGCCTGGTCCTCCTGGACTGCCTGGCAGGTCAGGACTTGTGGTGAGTTCTATTTGCATTAAACTACATCCTGAAAATAATGTTCCAATAAGTTATTATTTAAGTATTGGGATAATTGGTTATAATCGACGCAGATGAACTTTGCTAATGTTGCGAGTTTACTCCTGTTGAATATATTTTAGTTAAAATCTTGTTTCAAATGTTTCTGTAGGGTCCCAAAGGTGAGTCTATCGTGGGACCTCATGGACCTGTTGGTCCGGTGGGCGAGCCTGGAGCTCCTGGGTTTGGACGACCTGGCCCCCGAGGGCCCCCTGGTCCTGCTGGACCCCCAGGACCTGCATCTGGATATGGATCAGGTATGTGTATGTAAAGGCGAGAGAAAGATGGTGACCTTGGCTTGTTTCCATAAAAATGAATCATTGTCAGTTATTACAGGAGGCTGACTGTTGTTGTTATAGTATCTGTTAATGCATTTCTGACATGTCATGATCAGGTGCCAGTGTCCCTGGCCCCCCCGGTCCCCAAGGCCCGACAGGATCTCCAGGAAATGCCAACGCGGTACGACACCTAAACAAGCCATTTGTGCCTTATCTATAATGAAATGTCTAAATATGGCAGGATATGATAAATGTCCCGAAAAAGGTATCTGCATTGTAAAAAAATAAAATAATATTGCCAGGTTTATGCTGTGATTTTGTGAATTTTCAGATGACTGTTTATAAGACGAGCAACGCTCTAGACAGAGAGACTCATCGCGCTGCAGAGGGAACATTGGCCTATGTGTCTGAGAAAGGAGGAGAGCTGTTCATCAGAGCACGCAACGGCTGGCGCAAGATCCAGGTGTGTTACCTACCATGAACGCCTTTAATTAGAAGATAAAATGTGTCAAAAATATCACCTGCTCATAAGACATATGAAGTATTAAAAAAAGCGACATAGGACAGTATAGTATGTTGAACATATCAGAAAAACTACAAAGTATGTCGAAAATATTGGAAAAAAACAACTTAGTATGTATAGTATGTCGAAAATGTCAGAAAATACGACAAAGTATAGTATGTTTAAAATGTTTAAAAGACGACATAGAATAGTATGTCGAAAATATGTTTTTAAAAAAAAATAATATAGTTTATCGAACTATATTATGTCTTGTCTGTAAATATCCGAAAAAATTACATAGTATAGTATGTCGAAAATATCAGAAAAAACGACATAGTATTTGACATAGTACTTACTGTACACATGGCATAAACATATACACAGTTGGAACATACATATATAGACACAGCTACTGATAATGGTGAGCCTCATGACCAACATTTACATCCACATTGCATTTGAGTGTTGAGAAGCTAAATGGACGTAAGCAGGATGAGTGTTTGTAGTGGTTCGTAACATCAGATCAGACGAATAAATAAAGAACTATAATTTGACTTTTTTCCTATTTTACGACATACTACTACACTATTACTTTTTTTCTTCAAATTGTTTGGTTTCGCACTCCACTAGGAAATCAACATGGCAGCATAGCACCTAACGGCATTGTTCATGTGTGTCCGTCTTTCAGCTCGGAGAGTTGATCCAATCTGGACCCTCCTCATCAGTGACGTCTCAGTCCCTCAGCAGAACTGCTGAGAGGAGCCGCCCACACAGAATCCACAGCCAGGTAAACACACAAACACACAGCAACGCATAACAGAAGACCCACAGCAGGAAACTAAGATCCACACAACAAAAAACAATCTGATAAGACCAGCTACAAATGTGTGGAAATGCATTATTTATCATGATTCTACAAGTACTGAAACACAACTACAAAAAAAGCAATACAAAATCTGGTGATCCATTTTTTTATTCACATCTTAATTGTTTTCTCTTATGTCAAGAAAACCCTGGATCATATTTCTATATTATTAGTTTTTTTAATGTTGTAATACTTCCCTTCGTATAATGAGAACATGATACAGAGGTGCATTTTAGCCTCTTTTAGCTGAAAAGTTTATCACAACAACAACCCGTATTATAATTTCCCTGAAGAAAATAATGTAACTACCAAAAATGTTTCATATCCAGATTTAATTTAAAGTGACTTAAATACATATTTATTTGATTATGTTTTTGTTTAACAGGAGCTTCAAGAGAGCAGTAGAGGATATCAGCCCAGCTATAATGTATTACCTCAGACCTTCAACGCTGTACCGGGGGTGAGAGTAACAATATATGTATGCACTTACACACACCAACCAATAGTCTACCTGCTTGAACCGCCGCTGAGCTCCACATACTTACATGCATACATGTAAAACCAGTTAGTTAAAATGTTTGCCCAACACCAGCCCCACTCAGGTGTGTACCAAGTATAACGTCTCCTCATATCTGTGTTTTCACTCTTTCCCAGCTCCATCTGGTGGCCCTGAACGCCCCGCTGAAGGGGGACATGCGTGGCATCCGGGGGGCCGACTTCCAGTGCTACCAGCAGGCCCGCTCCATGGGGCTGACCTCCACCTACCGGGCCTTCCTGTCCTCACACCTGCAGGACCTGGCGACCATCGTGAGGAAGGCCGACCGCACTGACATGCCCGTGGTTAACCTCAGGGTCAGGACACTTTTATATATACAATTACATTTTAGCAACCATAATAGATATTGTTTTTTACCATCAACATCTTCTTTTATATAAAATCTCTCATCTCTCCTCTCTTCTCAGGGTGAGGTGTTGTTCAGTAGTTGGATGTCCATCTTCTCTGGGAATGGAGGCACTTTTACCCCGTCCACACCCATCTACTCCTTTGATGGCCGCAATGTGATGACTGACTCAGCATGGTGAGTGTGTTTCTGTCTGTTGTAGTAAAGTCACCAAGTTTCGAGTCCGAGTCACTCTTGAGTCCCCACTCTTAGAATCCGATTCCAAGTCCGGGTCATCTAGGAAGAGTCCGAGTCGAGTACGAGTCTGAGTCATCATTACCAGTGCTCGAGTCTGTTTAGAACATTGAGTAGTCATCAGTGTGCGAGTTGGAGTCCGAGTCCATCAGTGCGCGCACCCGAGTCCGAGTCAGAGTCAGAGTCTTTGTGCGCCAGAATTCCCAAGTACGTGTTCAAGCCGATAACTGCGCAAGTCCGAGTCAAGTCACGAGTCCCAAAAATTGGCACTCAAGTCCGACCCTAGACCGATTCCAGGACTCGAGTACTGCAAGTCTGGTGTGAGTAAGTAAGGAAAAGTAATTGTGTGGAGGCTAAGGCAATCATTATCATGTGCGAGTTCGAGTCTGAGTCCATCAGTGCGCGCACCCGAGTCATAGTCCGAATCCTAGTCCGAGTCGGAGTCTGAGTCTTTGTGCGCTAGAATTCCCAAGTACGAGTTCGAGCCCATTACTGCGCGAGTCCGAGTCAAGTCACGAATCCGAATTCAGGACTTGAGTACTCCCCTCACTAACCCACCCCGTCTCCCCCCCAGGCCAGAGAAGCAGGTGTGGCACGGCTCCAACACGGTGGGCATCCGCCTCACCTCCAACTACTGCGAGGCGTGGAGGACGGGAGACATGGCGGTGACGGGCCAGGCTGCTCTGCTGCAGACGGGACGCCTGCTGGGGCAGCACACGCGCTCCTGCTCCAACCACTACATCGTGCTGTGCATAGAGAACACATACGTGGGGAACACGCATCAAAAGAGGACCTGAAGAACACACACTCTCACACAAACACACATGCAGGCGTGCTGAAAGTGAAGAGTAGAACATGTGACTAAGTTCACATGCATTTTAATTGAAATGGAAAACACATGCAGGCACATACATGATGATATATCACTGCATATAAATGACAGACAGAAGGCACTTTTTGTTAATGCGTTCAGAAAATATACACCCACGTTGACACGCAGCAGGCGCCTAATGAAAACACACATTTGAGTTTCTTTCACTATGTTTAGGTTTGTCTTTAGTGCCAATGTTTAACCCAACATGCGTCCGTCCCAAGTTAGATTTTAATTAACTAAACTTTTTTTAATGACAGCATCACACAGGACATTGATATTAACAGTATGTGTTGTTAAAGTGAGGAATGACTCGGGATATCAGGCACTGACACAGACTGATCTGAGCACAGCTGAATAACTGAACCATTACTGTGCAGGTTCTGTTTTAAGGAATACTTCACCCACAAACTGTCCGCTTGTATATCAGTTACTCACCCTGTTAATTAAAATTCTTGAAGAAAATAAATCTTACATGCCTACATGGTGAACAAAGAATAAGAAAACAAAAAAAAGTCTTGATAAATGGAATTAAATGTGGGCTGCATTTAACAAGAATTATTCAAGGTAACACAGGGTGAGTTACAGATAAAGAAATGGCCATTTTGTGGCTGAGGTACCCCTTTAACTAAACAATTATAATTGTTGCTTATCATTTTCAGAATTGTAGATATTTTTTTGTATTTTCCCTACAGTTCAATACAGTCAACAAACCCCATGAATGAAAATATCAACAACAGCTGGTCCCTTTAGTTTTTAGCAAACTTCATGCAAACAAGAGGAAATAGTGCATTTGTTTGGGACTATTTTCAGTGGTGGATTTACACACATTTGGCTATCTACTGTCTAATTTTTGGCAGCAGGACAGCGTAAATGGGATTGAGTTGAAATAAACTACAGTGTGTGTGTTCATGGTAATATAGGAACCCAGTGCAAGTTCATAATTAATAAGATCAATAAATTGTTAGTTTTGGTCTTTTTTCACAGAGAAAAATATAGATTATCACCAGGTTTACATTATAAATATGATGAGCACAATGTGAACCGTTTGAGAAACATACCGCACACATGTAATGACATATTTCTTTGTGTGTGAACCTCTAATGTCAGTGACCATGTCTTCCTGTCATATTTTAAATGTTAATTCACTGTATGAAAATGACTTCCTGCTAGCAAAGTCAACCAATCACAGCATCACTTCTTATTCATCCATTTTATTTTCAGGCCAAAAAACACTGGCTGGATTTGACCAAAAACATTTTACCACTAGGATCATCTCTATTTGTTAAAGCTGCTGATTATTAAAACAACATTCAAGAGATTATAAAACAGCCTACGGAAGAGGATTAGAAAATGTGGGGATGTGAAAAAAATGTTTTTTTTTGTTCTGAGAAAAAAGTCAGAATTCTGAGATTAAAGTTTCTTCCATGTGGCCCTTATCATCTTCCGTAAAAGCCTAATAGGAAGTTGAGAAGAAATATTCTGAAGAAAAAAACGGAATTGTTTAAAAAAAAAAGTTTTATCAGGATGTTTAATTAAGTTAGGGTTTTTTGTTGTGTCCGCATTGTGGTTGACAGCGTAGTTGTAATACTTAATTTCCCCACTAAAGGCAGAAGCGCATCACTACCTAATGTTCTAAACAATTAAAATACATATCTAGCCGAAAGAAAGACATGAAGGTAATGTTACATCACTTGCTGACACTATTTAAACAGTTATATTCTGAGGCCAAATTGATTCTAAAAATGTGAGTCCCATAACAGTTTATTTAGGATTTCGAAAGATCATCCTTTTTTTACCCATTTTAAAATCCTGATCACAGGCTAGAGAACTTTTTTTTTGCATCTCATGGCTTCCGTAGCATAAGTCATGCATTGAAAAAATGTATCTAGGCATGTTAAAACAGAAGCCTGCTAAGACTAAAATGTAGGCGAGTACACAAATAATATCAGAGACCTAATCGCCCACCCCCCAGGAAAAACTTGTTGACTTACTTTGAATTGATCAGTTAATGCATTACCATTTAGCATCTCGTAATGCAAGTATTAAAGCTTGATTGTCTTTTACAAATTCAAGTCCAAAGCAGCTATTTTTTTTCCTGTTTTCTTTCGTCCTGTTGCTTGCAATAAGTCATTCAAAAGTAGTGTCAACACTATCAGAGCTTTAGAGTTAGTATTAGTCAAAATCATCAATGTGTGATTTTTGTATTAATTTATACAGTAGCAGGACACAGTGGGAAAATCTAGCGAGTTCACTTTCAGATTTTGATGAAGTTGGAACATGTGTATGTACAGTATATATGTGTGTTTGTTATTGTTGTCTTAATGTCTTTGTTTTTTACTCTGTAGAGGTAGGTTTTGTATGACGCACACTAAATGAAGTATTTCTCCCACCAAGCTTTAGATGTAGTTCAAGAGTTTTGCCTGTAAAGATGAAAGTGTTTGATATGAAATGAAAAGTCGTTTTACTGATGTCTGATTTATGATTACAGTGCAAACAAAACTTGAGTTTCTGAGGAAAGCGAACATTTGTACTGCCTGGTGCTCACTGAATAAATGTTTCTTTTTTTTTATGTTGTGACTCCTTCACATTTGTGTTAAGTGCCGTAATGTATTGGCCACGAGGCTGAAGTGCATGAAGCTTTCTCATTTCACTAATTCCCCTCCTCGACTCCCCTCCTCGACTCCCCTACCCTCCTATCCTCGTGTCTTAGTCCCGCCCACAGGAGATGCGAGCGGAGGAGTCGAGGAGGGGAACCGAGGAGAGAGGAGGGGAAGCAGCAGGCGTTTAGAGAAATGAGAAATCCTCTGAGCGGTCATTTCAAACAGACGTCCATTAATGATGACAGGAGGCACAGCAGCCCTCTGTCTGATGGACAGATGTGTTCATGACAACTTATATATTTACTTTTAATTCATTCACAGTGCGGTATAATGAGACAATAACAGGCTACAGATGCGGACATACACACACATATATTTATATAAATATATATATATATATTTATATAAAGATATACAATTTCAGAATCAAACAAGAGAGCACTCTCATAATAACGTACCACTATCAGAGACTGGATATCCCCCCCCCCCACACACACACACACACACAAACACACACAATATATCAGGATACAGCCGTTGTGTATTTTATTATATGAAGCACTAAATGGTTTTAGAAAAATATCGACTCTTTGTAGATATCTACACAGTAAATTTCTCTGAGTAAAATTGACTAAAATTGAAGAAAATTTTACTCTAAAAATATAACATTTGGTCCCAACCTATATAGAGTAAAATGTACTCTTTGTTCAGAGTTGTATTTTTAGAGTTCATTTGACTCTATTATGTGCTTAGATTTGACTCTGCTTAATGGTTATTTACTCTATGTAGTGTATATTAAAAACAACTCTACTGCCATTTTACTCATAATAGAAGGTCATTTTACTCCCAATCGAAAGTAATTTCACTCAGAATAGAATAAATGAACCATAATGATCTTTACAATAAAAAAGGTCAATAAACCAAAGTGCTTAAGGAACATGAGTGGGCGTGTGTGAAGCTGACCATTGAGCGGCCCGACCAAGCAAGGAGGCAGAGGCAGAGAGTTCAAATACAACCCGGTGTGGGCATTTATTCCTCTTTGTGGTACAGGATACACAGCCTCAATATGACTGTCTCACGTGAACACAGTCACCAGCTACCAGGACCTCACACACACACACTAACAGGAAAACAGAACCTAAATACACACAGGACTAATCAAACCAACAAGACACAGGTGAGGAGAGAGGAGAAACACAGGGCACCAGGTGAACGCAATCACCAGCAACAGACAAGACGGGAGGGGGAACACTTTTCAAACTAAAACAGGAAACGGAGACAGACAAACTAAAACATAGACAGATTGTGACAAATATATGCATAAATGACATATAATCACATGCTTCCTGTGCAATGTTTTAGCGTGGAACAAATGAATATACTTCGCCAATAATGAAGCTATATAATCCGTGATCAATGGCCCCAGAGATCACCTCCGTTACAGCGTGGTCATGGTTTAACTCCAATAGAATTGACTCTGCATTTTTGATCGCACTCTAGAAGCTATGAGTAATAAATACACTCCAAAATGATTAAATATCACTATTTCAGAGCAAAATAGTAATTACTCTGGAAAAAATACTCACCAATATTTCCTGTGTACTAAACTAAGCATATAAATAAAGACAGTAATGTAGGCCTGTCATTCTACAGAAAAGGTGGAATCTGGGTGATACAAATCTGCTGAAATGCATTCCTTCTTACACATCTAAAACCTGTTAAATAGCAATAACTAACTTCTTAACTTGATGAATCCACAACAAGTAGAGCTTAAAGTATTTTTATAATTTGTATACATTATACAAAGCTTATTTATATAGGAACGTCACTGGTGTTACTGGTGTTACCAGGAAGAAGAGTAACACCAGTGACGGTAACACCAGTGACAATTTGGAGAAAACACTACCATTTTAACAAAATGGCTGCCATGTGTCAGACCACATGGCTTTAGTCAAAATAAAAATTCAACATGTTGAATCGGCCGCGGGAGGCGTCCGAAGGTGTGAAAAGGTGCCGTAAAGAGACGACGGTGCGGGACACACAAACTTGAGTAGGGCGCCGCGAATGCGTCCCCGACTGCCTCTGACGGCCTCTGTCGGCCTCTGACGGCCTCTGACTCCCAAAATCGGACTGGTGTCCGGGCCTTTAAGGCTATAGGCCCAATCCCAAACGATGCCCTACACCCTAAGCCTACACACTACCCCTCCGTTTGCGCGGAGGGTCCGCCACATTAAAGGGCCCATGTCATGCTTTTCCGGTTATTACCCGTCCCCTTGAGTGTTATGAAGGTTTTTATGCATGTAAACGGTGTGCAGAGTCAAAACCCTCAAAGTACACCCTGTAGCGAGTAAAACTCTAACACAGAAAATACCTCCCCAAAACGCCTCGTTGGAGATACGTCATTGTCCATTTGGTACGGCATGACATCATGCCGTACCCGGAACGAAATGGACCAATCCGTGGAGCCGTTACGTTACGTCCGCGGAGCCGTTACGTTAAGCCCCCGCTGATTGGTCCAAATTGACCAATCCACGGACTTCCTCACACACACATCTGTGTGCAGGGAGCAGGCAGCTCAGCTGATTTCTCCTCCCTGGCTGCAGGCTGATAACAGACAGTTGGGATCGCGGCGAAATTCTCTCTGCAGACCCATTCTCACAGCGTTTATCAACCTTTTTCTTACTCAATATCAAGCCACACTTATTGTTTTTACTTCGGCTGTGACTTTGTGTGTGCTCAGGATGAGTTTGGCTGTGTATCGCTAACAAGGAAACAACACCTCCACGGAGCTCAGCGCGATTCACAACGTCCCGACCAATCAGAGCACACTGTGCTCACAGGGAGGGTGGGGGCTGGAGCTATTGGAGCTACAACGAGCCGTTAAAGGCAGAGAGTGAAATTCAGTGAATACACGTAGTTTACAGAGATGCTGTATGAGAAACCAATGTGAGTTTGGAAAATTGCACAGTATAAATCTATTCTAGTAGACCTCAACAATGGAATTATGATCAGTGGAAATGGCCATGACATGGGCCCTTTAACAACCTCATGATAACCTCATATTTGTTTAACTTAGGATCATATACCTGTGTTTAGTCTAGAAAAAGGTAAATGTGTGCATTTTATTATAAAGTTGTGTATATTTACAGATTGTTGCAAAAACTAAGAAGCTTATAAAAATCAGGTTTAAAACTAAAAGAGCTTTACAAAAAAGTAACACAATTAAAGATGTTTGGAGTTTTATTTTAGTTCTTAATTTACATTTTTTGTCTAAGAGATGCTGATTTGAAACCGTTGTTACATACAGTTACGGCATTTCCTGTTTCTGCCAGGAGTTTGTCCCAAAGCTTGCCGCTGTATTTACTCCCTCCATCTGACAGGAGGGAGCCTCGTTGAGCTGCGAGTGTCACTCCAGAGTTCACTACGTCACGGAGGGGGAGTGTGTAGGGGTAGGGTGTAGGGCGTGGTTTGGGATTGGGCCTGAATCTCCTCCATTCAGGCCTCGATGCTCGATCCTCGATGTGTATTTAGAGAAATTAGATTTGCTTCAACATGGTGCCCTGAAATCCATTTCCGGGTCACTACCGAAGGACCGAGGATTCGAGCAGTCGAGGAGGGGAAATTAGAGAAAAGAGAAAGGCCCCATGACTTCTCAATTGTTCTAAACAAGTCTAACGCAGCGTCCACACAGCAGCGTGCGTTGAAGCTTGCCGGTGGGCGTGTCTGAAACTCGACCAACAACCAATGACATGAATCTCCCGCCCCGGACACACAAGCACGCGGCAACTTTTTGCTCAACAAAGCAAAGAGAGATTCATGTGATTGGTTGTTGGTCGATTTTCAGACATGCCCACCGGCAAGCTTCAACGCATGCCACCCAGCGTCCACACGGCTGCGTGCGTTGAAGCGTCAATAATAGATTCTCCGTGGTAATGCACTTCAGCCTCTTGTGGTCAAAGTCAAAGTATTACAACTATAATATCTGAGGACAAAAACGGTTTTGTTATTTGAGGATTAAAGGATATATTAACACATTTAAAAAAAAAAATGTTAAAACTAAATGCATAACCCCTGATAATCAAACACCAAACGTTAGGTAGACTGGTCCAAGGTTTAGAGATATCACATTTTGAAACACGCACAAGTGAGCTTAACATTCACATTTGGAGTTTTAATAATGATAATCTTTCTTTTTCTGTGCAAAAAAGAATCAGTCAAAATGTAACAAAAAAAAAGTAATTTATTAAAATGGATATGTACAGCACATTCCTGGATCAAAAAAAGCAAATCATTAGCTCTTCATGTTGAAATGTACGTACTTTGTTTCACTTTTTCAAGAGAAATTACATATACAACAGGTGTGCCTTAATTTCCAAATGTTTTAAAACACCCCCTATTGCATCAGAGTCCGACAAACCTTGTAGAGACCTAGGGTCGGCGTAAGGATATCAGATTTAGAATGGCATTCTCACCACATTCACGCCTGTGTGCCTCCATACAAGGACAACGTAAAGACACTTAATTTAAGTAGCTACAGCTGCTTCCAGCACTGCATTTCCAACTCAAACATTATTGAAACAATAACTTGCTTAGAAAAGACCCCAAGACTGTCTTGAAAAAGAGTATCCATACAAAATAAAAAAATTAAGAGATTTTATATGTACGTCCCAGAATTTTAAATATCCAAACAGCTTTAAAAAAACACAACCAAGCAACGTTTCTAACATTAATCTCAAGGAGAATTTAGTAGGGACGTAATGTTTTTAATATATCAATCCGATAACAAGGCTGCATTTACACAGATACAAAAATAATAAGAACTGTAATAACTCAAGTATCTTCATTTTTGGACAAATACTAAAATCTTCCACAATCCATAAAATCCTAACCGTTGTCTTTTATTACCATTTAAGATGTGAAAAGTACATGGAATTATAAACTACGTAAGCTCCCAAATTCACAAGAAAAG